TTATTATTAAGATTTCTTTATAATTGCCTTATTATCATTTCTTTGCAGTTTTGTTATTATAATTTTTTCTATGTAAGTTATTTATTATTATTTCTTTATAAATAATTTATTATTATTACACATTTATAATTTATTTATTAAAATTATTTCTTTATAATTGATATAATATTATTTCTTTTACTAATTTATTTAGTATTATTATTGCTTTATAATTCATTTATCATGTAATTGCTTTATAATTCATTATATGTAACATTTATATAAAATTGTTTTCTATTAGTTCTTTTGTTATATAATCTTTTGATAATATTAAATTTTTAGTTATGCTTACCCGTATAAAACATTTCTGATCACTAGGCAGTATAATAATATTGGGTATTTGCTCAATATTAGCAAATTTGCTTGTTAGGTTACTGTCAAGACAGAGTTTATCTTCAGGTGGAGGGTTCAACGGATAAAATGAGCCTTGATTGTATAGATGATTTACAACACGCTTAATTTTATCCCCAGCATTGCTAATAGAATAAAATCGATAAATAAATCTAAATAAATAAATCTATTAATTACTGATAATTTGAGGATAAAACTTACATTGCTAGCTCCGTGCTGATAATATGATCAACAACATCTGTTGATGTCATGCCTATAATAATGCCATTTAAGTCTATCATTGAAGGATCTGGTAACATGTGTACATTTGGATATGTTTTTTTCAATGAAACCGGTAGAGTTGGATATACAGGATCAGCCATAGCATCATATTGGGAACTGACCATTAGAACAGTAGTTGATGTACTGAAACACGAAAGTTACAAATATTATTAAGAAAAAAAAATCAATATTTTCAAAGTAGATATGTGATATATAAGTAAACTATGTAGGATTAAAGTAGCGAGAATAACTATCATAAAGCTAGAACTAGGACAAAGATTTACCTTTAACTAAATTTAAATTTTGTATATAAATTTTAAAATTTTGTACATAAATTCTAAAATTTTGTATATTATAGGCAATATTTATCATAAGTTCAATCTTGCAGTAAGGTCTCTTAAGCGATAGTGATCCATCAACCATAAAGTTAGTTCGGAGAGAAGATTGATCTTAAGATTATTTCAATAAATTAAAAAGTATTATCTTTTTATATAATACTTTAATAGTAAATATGCATATTTATAAACACACTCCTTTGATTTAGCCAGGGATTTATAATTCCATGGCTACGTAACTGTCGTTAGCATTTTATTTTACTTTTAATTTTAATTTTTTTATAGTGTATATACTTACCCAATAATTTCCACAATGCCGGCTATCATTCTTTCAAAAAATACTTCAAATGTTTCGCCCATGTTCTCAAGTATTATTTGATGATCGACATCAAAAAATGGTCCAGTAAGTACTAACACATCCGGTAGATTTTCTTTTAAATAGTTTAGTAGATCATGTAACGGATCATAGAGTATATCGTCATCGAATGTGTATGGACCAGCAGCTATAACAACACTCAGTTGGCTATCGATTTTAGGGGGTGTTGGTTGTGTCAGTTGTTTTTCAGCTATAATATTTTCTACTGTAAGTGTATCTCCTTTTGGGTTCATACCTGATACCATAACAACTTGTCCTGGAAAAACACCAACGGATTTGATTTTGCTAAAGTTTAGTCGTACCGTGCGAGTACACATTTCATCAGAACCAACAAGCATAGTCGATGAAGCATCCAATGGACCATCATGATCGCAATATATAGTGCCAATGGTTTTAACAGTGTTCTAGAATTTTTAAAATTGATTATATAGTATATAATAAAAAATAAAATATAATGTGTGGTTTTATGCTTTTTTCTAAATATTAACACTGTTTTTTTTTTATTTAGTAAATATGTAAGAGTTTAAAAATTTAACAAAATTATTTTATTATTTTTATCTAAAAAATATTCTGTTAACAAACTTCATATTTTATTGAACTTATTCATTTTAATTTTATGCAATTTTGTTTGATTCATTATCTAAAAACTTACCTGTGAGTGAACATCCACTGGACTTAATTCATAATCATCTGCATCTGGTCCGAATACTTTACGACATAAGTTCTTGCCAATATTGAAGACACGATCCCCCGCAATCTCACACTTTTCACGTTGATTATCGAACATGTATTTCACATTGACAGCGCTTAGTGGTTCGCCATTATACAGCAACAACTGTTTAATGGCAATCTTGGTTTGCTCCAACGATGACCATTTTGCGTTGTTGATCAACGTAGGATTTCCAAAGGTGTAAACGATTTTGCCAGAGCCTGGAGCGGCAATATGTGTGCGTGGTGTGCCGCTGCTGCTGTTATATGAATAGACAAATGGGAATATTCGATATTAGTTATTGGTTATGTTAATGGTTATACTTATGGCTATGGCTATGACTTAGGTGGGAGTGTTGTGGCTATGGCTATGTTAGGAGTGTACACAAAAATTAAACTAAAATAAAATAAATTTCCATGCAGGCAACAGGAATTGAAATTCTAAATAGAAATCATGCAGAGTGCATAATTATCGTTAGTAGATACGACGAGCTGGTCTGTACTCATTCATTGCACTACAATTGCATTTGGTTAATATGGAAACAGTATGAGCAAAGATTCACTTAGTGGCCGTTGGCTGACTTTTCTTCATAATATTCAGACTCAGATTTTCTTCATTGTGTGTGAAATTTGGGTTGTTGCATCTCTGCTGGGCATTTTCGTCTTTGATTATCAATATGAAACGTTAAGTGGTGCTTTTATTTTAAAAACTTCAAATTCTACGGTTGTTAACGCTTGTTTTATTATAGTTATTATTTTTATTGTTGTTGTTGCTGATACTGGTATTGGAGTGTTAAAGTTCAATAGAATTCGAATGCACTACTTGAAAATCTCAGTTTTATTGTCAAAATTAAAAGAAGTTAACAATTGTTATAAAGTACAGAAGGTAGCCCTATGGCTTCGTAGTCATAAAAATGTTGTGCTATTTTATTTTATTTATAACGACTTTTTGAAAAAATAATATATTTTAAATTAATATGAATTATAAATGTATATATTATTATATCATAACATATTTTTATATCAGAAGCATATATAAAAAGGAAAATTGGAAATGATTATGCATCTGCTTAAAGATTATATGCTATACATATCAATAATTAATTTTAGCGTAAAGATTAATGGGTAAGTACTCGAGTTTGCAACGGAGTACAATGGTTATAGCTAAGCATTCAGTATAATATATTGTTTTTTATTCAGTTTTTACTGTCATGTTTGGACGCAATACCAAAATGTATAACTTTATATCCTTTATATATACACTCAAACTTCCATAACTCGAACTTCTATAACTTGAATTTTTTATAACTCGAACTAAATAGAGTGTAAAAGGGTTTAGAGAGCCAATAATATACAATTATAAAAAAATTCTTTAACTCGAAGTCTTCAAAATTATATATATATTATATTTATATGATAGGCTTATGGAAGTTTGACTGCATATATATTATATTTATACAATAGGCTTAAGTCGATCCTTTGAATCGCTAGTACAAACTACTGCTATGTTCTTCTTTTATAACACAAAGAATGAATAACAAAGATATGAGATATAGGTATATGCTAGTTATACCAAGAGAAATAACATAAAAACCTTACTTTATCAAAAAGCGCATTAAAACATAGAACTTTGCTAAGGTTTAGCTATAATTTCAAAAGATTCTTTGCACGATGCTTTCAACATAGTATACCAAACTCAAAAATAGTCGTAACAAACTGTCTAGTTTCTCCATTCTTGTATAAATTTGATTGATGCATCTTTTTAACAATTGAAGCTATACTTTCGGATACTGTTTCTTCTTTGGTGGTGAGCGAGGCTTATTTAATACCTTTTTTACTACGATACTCACTTTAAGCAGCCTCTATTGGTTAGGATAGAGGCTGCTTAATCCAAATAGCGAAGCTGCGGAACATAACTTCCATGGTGCGAGATTTACACCATTTAGTAAAATTAACTTACTACTCGTTATACTCGAAACAGTATCGAGTGATGGTTACTGGATTATAGCCACCTCTTACGACATGCATGTCTTATCTCAGGAATCTTCTATTAATATCGGGTGCTGTTTACTGGATTTTAATCACGTTTTACGACAGGTATGTCTCACCTCAGGAATATACCAACACGTATCCCGAAGGGATTGTTGTAACTCGTTGAAACCTGCTTGTGAAATCGTTTTGGGAGGTGTCAAAAAGCACTTGGTCGTTGCTGGCAACTGGTGGCTCCCGGACGTAGACCCCGCCGTTCTTGGAAACGTACAATTGTCGTAAGCCAGGCCTACATAATGCATCTAAACGATTTAGATTTAAATCATTTCAATGTTTCTACACTAGAGTCACTAGCTGTTCTTCTCAAATTGTTGCTATAATAGCACTAAGGTAGAAAATTTTTTGTTATATTTTTATTTTCAATTGTAAGGTTTGCTAAAAAGTTTCAAACTATTGGTGCCCACACTCACACAACCTCCTCCCTGATATTGCATGTCAAAAAACTTCTACTGATCTTCTCTAAGCTCTTTTCCACAGGCTTCCCAATGAACCATCCCTTGCTCTCTACTTCTCATCAACCTATTGAAATATGCAATGCTTTTACTATTCATAACTTTTTAAGTATCCATATTAATTGTTTTTTTTAATATTTAAAATGTCTTTTTAAGTCTTATTATTTAATTTATTTTTATTTTATTTTATTTTATTTTATTTTTATTTTATTTTAAATTTTATGTGTACTTTAAACATTAATACTTATCAAAATAGGTAAATTAAAGAAAATAGATTTACCTTTCATGGACCTATTTCAATGTAATAAAAAATATATATTTGCCGTTATTTATAAATCAATAAAAAAATGTTCCTAATGAACTGTATGAACTTTTATTTAAAATGCAATAGTTAAAAAATGTTTATTTCAGGCCATATTTTGTAGATATCCAAGTACTTGGCAAACCGAAATCATACGGTTTAGCTTCACACTCACCTTAGGTAGATTGCAATTATTTCAACAACAAAATGTTAAAAATAAATATAAATATAAATTATTAAAATAGTACATTTACCTTTATCCTAAGGTAAAATCACATTAAACTAAACTAAACTTGAGATAAATATCAGAAATTTACTTCTTTGCCCTTTTAAAGAAGTAAGATATCGCTTGATGTGAATCGCGCAACATCAGACAAACTCCGCATGCTTCGTCAACATGTTGCCAAACACTTATGGCAACAAAGCACAGCACACAGGCAGGCAAGTAAGCAACAAAGCTGGCAAAAGAGTTCGCTAAACGAAGTATTTCAATTACATAAAAATGCAAATTGGTAATGCACAATACTCGTAAATATTTAAATAGAATAAAATAGTATAAATAATAGATATAATATACAAAAATAGAAAAAAAACAATTACAGAAACTATATTGTTTTGCTTCGTATATATTTTATATTCGGGTATGCAAACAAAAACTTAATATGCGCTGCTCTGCTTTATTTTTGTTTTTTAAATTTATTTTTTATATAATTTTTGTACATTTCCTAATTTTCTGGGAAATTGTGAAAATGTGCGCTTTTTTTAGGTTCGTTATTTTTTTTTTTTTGTTTTTAGTTTTTTTGGTTTTATAAGCTCGGCTTGTTGCGATTGTTTGTTGCAGCATACGAGGCATGCGACGTGCAACATTTGGTTATGCTTTTGGCATTTTGCTGTTGCGATTATTACCGCTGCAGGTCATTTATTTGAATTTTGTTTTGTGTACTCATATACATAAAAATAGACGGAATGGTATTGTAATGGTTAATTTAGTTTGGATGGTGATGGTGATGGTACCAATTCAAGCCGCATACATTTGCTTTATATACATATTTTGTTTAACTGAATTTCTATAGTCGAGTTGCAATCGAATTGTGTTGCTTTAGTTTTGCTATTGCAGTTCGTAAAGCATAAAATTTTTGTATTGCAAAATGATTGAAGTCGTCGTAATAACAATAATTGCATTTTTAATTTTTAATTTTATTGAAATATTTTTCCGCAAATTTTCATTTTAAGTTTTGCATCGCCCACGGGAACCCCAAATAAAATTTTTATTAAAAAATCGAGTACTATTAATTAATATCGGATAGCGGATAACTTGTAAAAAATTTGTTAGTTCGTAGATGGTCTTATAAAGTAAAGTTATTTAGAGCTAAAATTCGTACATTAGACCAAAATTGAAATCATTTTTCACTTAATCGTTAATTTGTATAGGTTAATCGCAGTGTTATTTTGTATTTACCAGTATGAAGTATCTCCTCACTTAAGTATTTCTCACTTAATCGATAATATGTACGAAGTACTATCGAAGTTAGGAATTCAGTCCAACTCAGATTGCAGATACTGTATAGAAGAGAGATAAACTGCATACCATGTGCTTAGGGAGTGCCCGGTACTGATGCACAAGCGGAAGAAACATCTAGGAGGGTATTTCATCGATCATAAAGATTCAAGACTAGAAAAGGTAGGCTCTATAATGTCTTTCAATAAAGAAATCGGACTTGGAGAAACACTCTAACCCGAGTAAGGGACACAATAGATCTTTTAGGTCGCAGTGCACAATCCCTTCTTTTAATAATAATATTGTATAAAGTATATTCACACTTGTTTTGTCACAATAATCCAACTCGTTTAAAATCTAGTATCTACTTATAGGTTCTCTAGACTAATAAATTTATATTATATCATTTGCAGCGGTTGCAGGCTTAATATTTCATATACAAGCTCAAAATTGAAAACATTTTATTGACAAAGTATGTATATAAAATATATTCCAAAGTCATTGTTAATGTTTTAAGTAAGTTTAACCAAATATTATTGATAATAACATAGGTTTGGTGAGACCAAACAAGCTAGTACTACATGCAAGCACAATACTCTGGGTCTTTAATGATTCCAATCAGAGAATTTGTTAAAAAAATTGGAAGAGCTAAATCAATCTGTAAACTGCAATTCTGTTTATCATCGTGGTTGAATGAAACTGCAATAAGCATTGACAAAATCAGTTTGGCGATCAGATGAAACATTATGATTGGCATTAGGTGCTTTAACATATATTTTCCGTAAACTTATCATACATTTGCTTCTGTATGGTGAAGCGCTAACACAGAATGATAAATCAGTACTGGGAATATTCGAGAGAAAAGTGCTTTGTCAGATTTTTGTCCTTTATGAGTTGGTGACGATCATCTCATCTGCATGTATCACGTGCTATATAAGCCTAATCACGTCATTCAGAAAATTAAGATACGGTAGCTTCGCTAGCTTATCGTGAGAATGGATGACGATACTCCAGCAAAAAAAGCGATTGTAGCGAAAACCATTTTTTTGACGGTGTGATCAGGTTGACGCTAAGACCTGACGTTTCCTTAAAGTTTCCATCAAATTGACCCCATACCTTTTACTACCTATGTGATCTCTAATTATAATAAAAAATCACTTAAAATTGGTAATACTGATAATTGTTCAAGTATGATATACCCGATTAGTTATATCGATAAGCTGCAGTTCTCTTTTGTAATAGCTATATTATAGATATTAATTTCAGACTAAATTAATAATGGAACCCCTTTTTAATTCGTGCTTTAGCATGCTCTTTACTGGTCATTAACTTAAACTTAAACAACCTTAAATTGAATTGTGTCTTGAGGGCAACAATTGCTAATAAATTTGGACGATTTCTATTGAAAAATTGATTTAGGCAACATAGGAGCATGTACTCTTATACAATTTCATTAATTAGTTTTATAATTATGTTAGTTGTAAAAAAAAAACATCGTTTGTAGTAGATGAGTAGCGAATGTAATAATTTATTACTTTTAATATGCCATAAAAGGTGAAAAGGTGTAAAGATAGTTTAATGCTTAATAACTAAAAGAAATGTAAACCTTTCAGAATTGGGTTATTGAGAATCATTAGATAATAAGCTATTAGAGTTTAGAGTTTAAATATTTAGTTATTTTTTTAAAAAACGTATGTATGGTTTTAAACGATTAACGTGACTACATTTAATATTAATTATTACTTGTATAGTAAATGGTCACTATTATTTGATTGATAATAAAATAAAAGAATTCAATTTTCCCATGATGTGTTCATTTGAACTCCAATAAAAGTTAGTTACTATATATATAGGTATATATATTCCCTTTTAATCACTTCGTGCATCCGATTCTACTGTGATTTGTATTGAATTAAACCTATAAAAAAAATCAGTCAAGACAAGCAGAAGGTTATTGAGTCAAAACTAAGGGCGACATTTTTTACATTAATTTATTAAGTCCTCGTAAACGTATATAATAGTCATAAAGGAAAATACGTCCCCATTCTTTTTAATAAAACTTATTTAACAATTAAATTGTACAACAATTCGCATGAATTTTCATATCGCTGGTAGCATTTAATAAAGCGGTATATTAAGCCCCATTATTCACACATTCTATATCATTATACCTTCCTCGATTTCAAATTTATATTGTATAAGGTATATTAATTCTCTAAATGTATCAAATGACAATGTATTTATATAAACCTTAACGTGAAGAACAGAAAACTGATCTATAGCCAGATAATTAGACCAGCATTACTTTATGGGTGTGTCGCGTATAGCAAAGCTGCCGACTCTACTATACAAAAGCTAAAAGTCGCTCAAAGTCAGGCTCTACTTACCACTATCTAATCTTAGAGTAATCAGTCTCCGCACGGGGAGGTACGCAGATCTTAGATCAATCACTAAATAATTATAAAGCTTATGAGAGATATACAATTTAGTCAATGAGATGGGTGGGACCCTGTAGTACCCCCAGCTATCAAAGAGTAAAAGTGCCCAGTTGCGCTGACTCGAAAAAAAGGATCAACATACATCCTAGTATCCACTTTACATAATATATGAAAAATAAAGTTTAATCTTTAAAGTATTTAGCATGATCCTGGTCATCGTTCTCTCGATTCTCTCTTTCTTGCTTGCCTAATCTTCAAACTAATGGCACCGTCTATAATCTCCATCTTGTTGTTTCTTTTTCACACCTCGATTATGGAATCGAGTTCATAGCGTCAATATTACAGTTAACTTTATATAGTTTTTCTCTATTCAATTCCTTAAAAATAAAATATATATATATATATATAAATTTCATTTATGATTTTTTGTTATTAGTAAACTGTGTGGATCACAATTTCTTTTACAGTATCTCTGAAATATACACGTTCCAGGATTTTAATTTATTAATTTGGTAAGTGCGCTACAGACATTGATACTATTGATTGATCGATCATCCATTTGTTTTCATGAATGAATCTTGCTTTCTTTCAAGTATCCAATCAGGTGTGATGTGATATCACTTTCGGATAACTTTGTCAAACCATTTTATAACGATGTTCTTTCTACACTGACAACCATCTTGTAAGTTATTCTACTGCTTGCAGGTATTGATTCCTCTTTTGCGGTAAATGTTTTGCTTATCTTTAAGGACTGTGTTGTGATCTAACGTTCGGATAATGTGATCAAGTCATTTCATAGGCTATTCTACTTTCATTCCGCATTAATTCCTCTTTTACAGAAAACATCTTGCTTATCTTTAAGAAGTGTACTGTGATATTATCTTCGAATAACCTGATCAAGTCATTTTATAAGTTATTCTATTATGTTATGACCTCAGTTTCGATTAGCGTGGTCAAGCCATTCTATAAGTCATTCTACTTCAAGCAGCCTTTGATTCCGCATTTATTCTTTTTTTTTTTTGCGGAAAACATTTTGCTTTTTTTCAAGAAAAGTGTTATGATCTGAGTTTCGGATAGCGTGATCAAGTCATTCTATAAGCTATTTTACTTCAAGCAGCCTTTCATTTCACATTGATTTCATTTTTGTGGAAAACATTTTGTTTATTTTGAAGAAGTGTGTTATGATCTGAATTTCGGATTATATCATGAGCAGGATACCTTAATCATGCCATCTTATAACTTTATTCACTGTATGCCTCCAATGATTATACGATCTACCACATATGTTTAAAAGAGTTTGCTTTTGTTTAAGAAGTATTCTGTTAACTGACTTATGGGTGATGTGGTGAAAGAGCTACTGATTTCTCGACTTTTATCTTGTATTTTTTCTTCTCTTCTCATCTCGAATATCTTGCTTTTCCTTAAAAACTATGCTGATATCTGAATTTCGAATGATTTGTTCTGCTTGAGTTTGCTGTCACTTGTCTTTTGGATAATGTGATATAGCCTCATTGCTAGACAGCTATTCCAGTTTGACGCTAAAGCATTTTTGAAGGTTCTAGAAGCCTACAAGCCAATGTTGAGTGGTGATTTTTCTTGAACTTATATCAAACAGATCTAAATGTTCAAAAGATTTGTCCTATTGAATAGTTCGTCAGTTTGACGTTGAAAAAAATTAAAGGTACGACTAACTTTGAGGTTCAATTAGTTATACTTTTTTCTAAACATTTTATTTTTAAAAAATTACTAGTCTTCAACTTTGGGTGTTCATGTTTCTTAAACTTAATTTATGTCTAAATGTTCAAAAGACCTGTATAAATATAAGTAATAGACGTAGTTGCCTGCCTCTATGGGTGTACACAGGTAGGGGCTGTGGAGACGGGTGCTCTCCCCCCTAGATTTCAAAATGTCATTATTGTTTTACATAAAAATTTACAAGAAAAGTTTGAAATTTATCTTTTTTTGTGAATTAAATCTAATTCTCAAGTTTTCAATGAACTAGGATGGGTGTTCAGTGGTCCCCTTTATTTCGGCCCTGGGTATGCCCATGCCTGCCTCTATGTATGTTCATTCATAAAAAGTTTTTATAGCATACTATAACTAAATAGAAATATGTAATGTTTTCTTTTATAAATGTTCATCATAAATATTATCAATAAAACATTGCAAATGAATATAAAATTGTATTGTACATCTTAAAAAATTGTAAATTTTAAAATTATCTTCCAGTAATTGTAAATAATCTTTAATAAAAATGTTTTGATTTTAAATAACAATTTTTTAAGTTGAAAGGTGCACAATTTCCTTGCGGCAATAATATAAAATTGTATCTACAAATTCGAACAATTTCATAAGTTTAATATTTTTCTTTATATTTCTGAGCAACTCTATTGAGATTGAGATTTAGCATACGTGTACTTACATGGGTGAAAAACTAGCTGGACTAAAGAGGGCTTCTTTACGATGAGCAGGTGTTCTGGGTATAGCACCTTTAGCCTAAAACAAAACAAAAAAAAATGGATAGAATTATTTTAAAAGTTTCCAACAAGTTAGTAGTAGCAAGAGGAAAATACTAGTACTAGCACTAGTACTCATATGTATGCAAAAATAAATAGTAAAGAATAAATAATTTATGAAGAATAGATGAGATATTGGCACGAATAAACATCCGCATTTTCATGATGAGATACAATGGTAGTCACCACAACAACAACGGCGACAACAACAACAGCAAATGCAGGTACAACTATAATGTTGTAGGCATTTATTTTTTAATGCATCGGAATTTGTTAAGGAAAAATAAATAAATAAATAAAAAATAATAATACTATGACAATAATGTTGGCTAAAACGGAAATGCAACAAAGTTATTGTTGTTAGTTAAGTTGTAAAGACTTTGAAGTTGGCATTGAGCTCTCCGAGAGTGCAGCTGCTATGCTGCGATAATATTTTTGTAAGAACTTGACAAATGTTGTTACAGCACAGCTCCTACTACGTTTATCAAGGATGCTGAGATGCTGAGTTGCTCGGATGCTGGGATGTAGATACGTTAAAAAATTTCAAATACGTTTAAATTATCGATTGGAAAAAATAAAAAAAAAAAATTAATGAAATGGTGAAAAAAATGTATGCAATCATACATGAAAGTCATGCTAAAAAATTGTACATTCCCAAGTTATGCACATATATGTAAATTTATGTATATATATACAACATTTATCCATATATGCATGTAAGTAACTAAGAATGTGTTAAGAAATGTGTAAACAATAATGAACCACTTGAAAGTGTCCAAGCAATTCTTCTATATTCGTGCAATTAAAATTGTAATGGCAACAAAATTCGAATGTTGCTGGTGTGTTGTTAATGCTGTTGCTGTTGCTGCTGATGCTGCTGGTGATGTTGATGCTGATGTTGCTCCTTTTGCAGTTAACTTTTGTTTGCTGATTAGACTAAAATTATAAATAAAAATAAAATATATAATATATAAAAATAAAAATAAAAAAAAAAAATAAAACATAAAATACAAATAAAACGAAACATGAAATAAATGTAAAACAAATGTCTTCAATTGTGGATTGCTGCAGCAACAGCATTCAAAGAAAGATTTTAAAGTAACAGGAGCTGCTGTTGCAGACATTTTAAAGTTGCACTTGTTGCAGCTCGAATGTTGCTGATTGGCATCAAACATTACGGCAGGCATTCAGTGTGCAGTAGAGTGCAATGTAGGCAATGTATGTACTAGTAGTAAAGTATGAAGTGGTTTAAACTTCTGTTAAAATATGTGGAGTACGTGGATTACTATGCTGGCTTGTACTTTCAAATTATCGTATACTGCACGCAGCTGCTTCTTCTCTACCAACTTCACTAACTCCATTGCTGTATTGCTGCATTGCTGCACTCTTACTACAGCAGCAACTTTAAGTACCAACAACAGATTCAAAAGATATTTGCTCCCGCGCTTGTGTACGTTAAGCGTACTTCATGTACTAAACTAAAATGTCATTAGACAAAGTGTAGATTTTTATATATGAGTATTACGGGTAAAAAGTGCAATATCAACAAAATAAAAAAAAAAACAGATACATACAACAACTATAACAACAACAAAACTATACGTATTCCATACAACGGATGCGACGAACCACTCTTCCTTTAGTGCCTTAACTATACGAATTGTTGCAATGTGTTTTGTTGTTGCTATGATTGCTGTTGCTGTTGTTGTTACTATTACTGTTGCTGTTGCTGATATTGTTATCGTTGTTTGTTGTTATTATTGTTGCTAAGAGATTATATAGTTTATGCTTATGCGTAGAAATTTGTTTTCCATGAATTTTAATATAAGGAAAATAGTAAAGCGTTAGTACGTTTTATCTGCGTTTAGTTATCTTTAAGGCAACAGGTGGAAAATATTGGTAGTTACTATTGTGGGAACATATAAATTGCAGACAAACACGCAGCGGATGCATCTCCTCTCCATATCAACTGTGCTGCTTAGTATTTTATTATTCAATTGACAATTTTAGCTAACAGCTAGGTGAATATTTTTTGTAACAAACTTGATAATTGTATAATGAGCACAAAGTATCAAGATCTAAGGTAAGATACTTTCCAAAAAATATATGAAATTCTTAATAAATTTTTTTTTTTTTGCTATAAACAATTATTATTGTAAACAAAAACTTAAGTTCTCAAGTATGTGTTAAACAAAGCATGTTGTTATTACAATATTTTCAGAAAGTCTAAGGGCAACCAGATTGATCGACATGATCTAAAGCTGCAAGTAAATTAAAACGGAAATCACATAAAATATGCAAAATGCTTAAACCATTAATTATAGTTACTTTATATATCCGTACATTGATTTTATTTCTTTTCTTGATAGCATTTTACATTGAAAAATGTTCGCTTTACAGTAGTTGGCATTTAACAGTATTGTAGATCAGTGATCAGTGATCAAATGAATACATAGGTATTAAAATTAAATATTAAATAATTAAATATTAGATATTAAATCTAGCCGATCACTTCACAGTACATTAAAAGCAATACTAGCAAAAAGTCACCAAAACACAGAGAATCTTAACGAATGAGTAGACGATCTTGTCAAAATCTTTAGTTTTCATGTATAAAAATATTAAATACCTCTGGGTCCCACTAGAACATAGAATGGACAGCATAAACTATTTCAGTTGTATTTAAATGGAGCAATGATAACGTACATAACCTTTCTTGTCATCAATCCAGGGTCTGAAGGGTCATTAACATTAGTAGTTTTAGCTGCAGTGGAAACATGATATATCCGTATTTTCGTGGTTTTGAATAGTTAAGAATAAATTAAAGGAAATTACACCAAAAAATGTCAAATGCAACATTGCAAAATATATTTCCCAAAAGGGAAATTATCGAAATTTATTAAAATAAATAATATTATAAAAATATTTCAATTAGTGAAAACAATTTTTTATACTTAAATTATTTCATAAAGAGGTTTTTTCGAACAGTAGTGAACTACAACAACAAAAATTTTATTTTTTATATTATTTTAATTAATTAAATTTTTGGCAGACCATACAGCTGTTTCTAGTATTGTCAAATACCCATCAACAGTGGTCTTGGAAATAATTCTTGTATTTAATTATTCGTAAATAATTATTTTTTGAGACTGCAAGTACCAGGATTCGAAACGGATCTTGCCAAATGTGAAGCTCAGAATCAGCGCACCTTAACCAACTGATCCAAAGCCGTACTTGACTCTTTTGTTCGTATTTAAATTATTAAAATGTTTAATTAATTGAATTTTTGGCTGACAATACAGCTGTTTCGAGCATTGACAAATACCCATCATCAGTGGTCTTGGAAATAATTCTTGTATTTATTTATTCGTAAATAATTTTTTGAGGATATTCATTTAATTAAAATAATATAAAATGAATTTTTGTTGTTGTAGTTCACTACTATTCGAAAAACCTCTTTATTAAAATGTTAGGAAATGTATATATATATAGTAAATTTGCATTATATATTTTTGCCTTATAATCGCTTATAGTAATATTTTTTTAATTATTTTTAAAAATAGAGGAGTGCAAAGCACAAGACTCGCCAGATATCCTTTCGAAACTGTCAAATTAACTGCCATAATTACACAAAAGTTTAACCACTTAACCGATATAATCTCTGCTTTGTATCGGCAACATCAGACAGCGCAGCATGTTGCCACAATTTATTGTATACACACGTTGTGCTAAGCCAAGCTTAGTCAAGTGTATGCCAAGAATATTTAGTTTGATTTTGAAAATTAATTTGCAGTAGTAAGCGTTGATAGATTGCAAAAATGCGATAATGATAAATGATCTTTTAGGTAAAACGTTCGGGCGCAACTGCATGAAGCAGCAGGCAAATCTTTATAAAAAAAAGTAATATAAAATTTAGAGGATGAGTACTTTCTTTGCTTTTACCAGAAGTTTTAGCTAGAAGTTGAAAATTTTTTAGTTTTTTAGTTTTTTAGTAATTTTGCTATGATTTTTTTGTTTAGCTTAAAGAAGATTTTTGTTTATTTGAGTGCGCTTCTTTTGTTTAACGTCAGCGATTACATGGTAAATGCATGTTTACTTTTACAAAAAAAGCAACGTAATTCAACATAATTTAGTACTTTAATAGCTACATGACCACAAAAAAATATATTTAACGTGATGGCTAGTCCAAGTGCCCCCAAAACTAAGTTACTCTATGTGCAGAAAAAAACTGCAGCGTGCATAAGACGTGCAGCATACGAAGTAGCATTTAGAGGCACACATCTATAGAAAGTTTCAGGCCATGGGTTTATTTGCTGTGATATCAAAACAACAGCAGCTCTGATTTTATACAAATGGATGTGGACGTTTTTAATTCCCTTGAACTAAGACTCTGTTTGGTGCATTTGGGTGAAGTGCTTTTATATGAAGATATCCTGTAAGTTTAATGCCGTATAAGTATTTACCAAGCGAAAGGTTTGTCTAATTCAATCCAACATTAAAACGGGCACACCTCCGTAAATAATTTTTCTTTTGTAATAATGTAAAAGCAAAATATTGTTCTTATATGTGGCTGGCTAACTGCATCTACACGAGTATTTTTTCGTTCCTTTTAAAGAAATTATGGCGGGTGATCGCTTAGATTAGAGATTAGAACTGTCTCCATTGTTGATGTTTAATATTTGTTATTACTGCAGTGCTCTGTGCTGTTTCTGTTACGATTATAGTTGTTTTTGCAGTTGGTTTACTAGTTAATGTGGCCCAAACTGCCACACTGCGATCTTATCTGTGTTCTTCTTTGCGGTAAAATGCTATGGCAGTTCAGTTCGTTTTCCTTTGGTTATATCTTGATTTGAATAGATGTTGCACATCTGCCCGCAGTTACTTTAATTCTGTTGTTTTTCTCGATTATTTATTTTTGTTGAAGTACCATAAAAGCACAGATTTTATGTATATTGATTTCTATTATATTAAAAATGGTTC